AGTTACATATTTTGTAAATAAATAAAAGTTTTAAAAACTTATATACAATTTCACCCTTCACAAAGACATGCACAAATATTTTGTTGAGAATTTTCGTTGCATGATCTGAGAAAGATTTCCTTTCGCCATTCTCCATCCTCATCCCCACCCCCAAACCTACAATTACTATACATACGCTGACAGGGTTCAGAGCGTGCACTGGTCAATGCACAATTTACTGTTAGATTTATTCAAAGGAACATATTTTCATAATAATGTGATATATTATAAAATATTAAAGGATTCTATTTGATTTTGTATAGATTTATCTAATAAAATGTCAAATAAATGCATGCAAATATTTTGAAAAATAACAAAACAAGTTCATGGAAAACATGGGCTTCCACGAAAGTGAGAAACACGTACGCGACATACCGGTAACCTTCCGAGATAAACATGAACCCTAACTCGGAGCTTCCTGCTACATTAACATGATAGATTTAGACATGCTTACGTTTTCATTATACATGAATGAAATACTTACCGAATAAACACCAGCATTCCGAGAAGCTGTTGAAAATAAAACGATATTGCGGTGAACTTCGCCAAAGTGAAACGACGAACTGACAACGATCTACTGCCTTTGCGCATGTCCGGATATGATCAAACGAGGCGATCGAAAGTTTCAACATCTGGCGTTTGACAACAAATTGTCGGGAATTATAAGATTTTGACTTTTTATGGGAAAATATGAAATTTAATGCAGTAGGAAGACTGATGACATTATACCTAAAATCATTGATTTTTCATTTTCAGTTACGATTTATGCAACATTTCCGTCCGTTGATCGACGCACAATCATACAATATATTATATCATATCTGGGCCTAGGTCGATCTGGATCTTTTATCAAATTAATGTTCAGAAATGATAGTTGCTAAGTTGGATACCTATTGCCAATATATGGAACAAATGTACCCAGGAAACAATGGGTTGACATTTTGTTGGTTCCTTACGTTGAAACAACGTTGACAAGTGAACGAATCTCGACTAATTTTCTTTGGTCGCATGATAAACGTTGAATCAACGTTTATGAAAGGTTGATCAGCCAAACAACCAAACGTCCGTTGACTCAACGTTGTGTGTCCGCTGGGATACCTTTGATATTGAAGTGAATTAATGTTTGATACGTAGTTTCGCCAAGATTGGACCATTCAAATTCACTCAACAGGTTGAAGTCAGTAATTGACTAATCAAGAGCAGAATATGTGCCTTTTTCATGGTGTAAATATGTGTTTGAACAATCATTACTGATGCATAAATAATTATTTGAAAGTCCTTCAGCATTATACCTTTAGCGTTCATAGTTGCACCATCCGGCCAGAGTTGGTTGTGAAATTGTCTGTCTGCTTTAGATACGTGTCATACACGCAGAATATGATGAGTCAAGACAGAAAAACGTGTTATTTCAGCTTAAGTCGTAGCACCAAAACCCTGTGTCAACGGCTGGATCTCAGATGGAAAATCGTCACGATCGTCTAACAAACACACGGACATGGCTAGTCGGTAAAAAGAGAAACGAAAAAACAGACAACTACCGTCCCTTATCCTTCAGCGGTTACTTTAGAGAACCATTTGAACCTCTACACATGGGCAGATAAGAAGAGATATACTCACGAATACCTGTTAAAAGGCGAGGATCCTTCGTTTTGCATCCTTTGTGATGAAAGAATCACGGTCAAGCATGCACTGCTTGACTGTACTGACTTTTCCATCACAAGGGGTAACTTTTTCAATGTAAAAACGATGAAGAATCTTTTTAATAATGTACAAGTTCATTTAATTATTGACTTTTAAAACGAAATCGAATTAATTAATAATTTTTGTATATGTATTGTAAATAGAGTATGAATTTTCATTTGTGATAATGAATGAATGACTTTGACTGTTAGTGGCATTACCTTCAAAGGGTGTTGAAGTAGCGTAAAGTTATTGTCCCCCTGAGAAGGTATGTAAGTCCAATTTCATTCAAAGCCTTTTTTCATACCATGTGCTTTTAATCGTAGAATACGTGTTAGTTTAAAGTATGGCTAATTTTGACGACAACCGCCAACGGAGGGATGATGTATATCCAGCTAGGGTCCAAGTAGGCAGGTAACAAAGGTACTGTAAGTCAACATGTTCGCTACTATGGTGACCTGCCTTCAGTTGTTGGCGATCTATAGCCCGTTTTTTGTACTGTATTGCATTTCATATTTAAGATGTTTTTGATTTTCATCCTAGTTTTACAATTATATATCTGTTTACCAATAGTTTAATTACAAATATTCAGTCTGGTTTCCAGAAAAATCGAAGTACTATTGATCATGTAGTACGATTAGAATCCGATGTTAAAAATGCTATTATAAATAAACAACACGTACTATAAATTTTCTTCGATCTTGAGAAAGCATATGATACTACAACATGATCTTGGTTTAAGAGATCCTTTACCGCAATATATCACAGCTTTTAACCGACAGACAATTTCAAGTTGTCAAGTGTCAAAAAATTATAATCAGAGCGTTCCACAAGGCAGTAATTTGTCTGTAACATTATTTAGTATTTATATTCATCTTTCAAATGTTTCAACTGATTCAGTTGATGGATCCCATTTCGTGGAATATTTTAATGATTCTTGTCATGGTAAAAATATGCATGCAAATCTGTCTCAACAGAATTTACAAGAGTCAGTGTTAAAAAGGTTATTAAATTTTCTGAATCAGAAACTATTTCTGTGGAAAATATAAACCGTACAAAGACCCATAACATTTTAAAATGACACACCCATCAAAGCTGTAAAGGAGGCCAAGGTCCTGGGTCTTATTTTTGACTCCCAATTAACATTCTTACCGCACATTTATTAAATGCTTGAAAAGGAAATGCCTGAAGATAGTCGATTTGGTGAAAGTCGTTTCAAATTCTAAGGGGGGAGGGGACTTATGCAGATCACTCATTCGCTCAAAACTTGATTACGGCTCAATTGTATATGGAGGAGCCTGTGAATGAAACATTAAGAAACTTGATTCTATCCACAACCAATGTCTAAAATACTTTGTCTTGGGGCTTTCCATGATGTCTCCTATTGACAGTATTTACATTGAGGCAGACGAACCTTCTATTAACCAACTCAGTATTAAACTATCTTTGCAGTATGTTACAAAATATTATTGAAATGAGCTCAACCCTGCATACTAATGCGTGTTTATTGCCTTCAATAATTATCTCTGTGATAAAAAAAAATGTTCACTTTCTCCACCTCTCTGAATACCTATAAACAGCTAACACTGAGCTGGAAAATATATTTCTGTTCCGCCTGCTTTCGTCTCCTCCTTGGCACATAGTAAGGCCACAAGTCGACCTTACATTGTCCACATTAAAAAGATCAGAAACAAACGACTTACATTTTAGGCAAGAGTTTAATCAATTAAGACATGAATATAATACGTACAAATCCGTATTTACAGTTAGGTCCAAGAACAGTTGCTTGTGTCAATGGATCATGAAAAATATCCTCATGATTTTGTTGTAATCTTCCCCATTATCTGAAGAGAAATTAATAGTTTTCATTTCTGGGAGTTTTTGATGTTTTGTGGAATTAAGGTACATATTTAATGAGGAAAAATGTTTGGCCAACGTTTCACCACGATTATTGGCAATATTTATTAGTCAATAATTGATTTATTAGTCAATAATTGGTTTCCATCTTTCAGATGGTGGATGCTAGCTCTAGAGCTTTTACATATGATTTTCTGGATCAAGTACCATATTTTTTATGTCGGCGTCCCCGAATTGATTTTTGATAAATACAGTCGCCAATAATGGCGCCCAGACGGCATTCTCAAGACCAGACATGTCTTGTAATACGTGTTACGGCGTCATCTGGGGTGACGGGTTAGCCAAGTCGTATCGGCGAAAAACTCGGTTCCACACATGTATACAATAGGTGAAGCCCATGTCTGGTGTCCCACGATGTGAATATATTTCGAAAAGCGGCGTAAAACTAAACTCAATCACCCGTGAAGATCCGGGTTAGAATTGATCTCATCGTACCCCAATTGCGTAGGTCGATGCTCATGCTGTTGATCACTGGATGGTCTGGTCCAGACTCGATTAGTTACAGGTCCCTGCCATAAAACTGGAATATTGCTGAGTGCGGCGTAAAACTAATCTCAACCTTGAGGTTCAAATGTGTATATAATAATATTGCTTTCAGCTGTGGTTTTGTGTTTATACGGAATCGTTAATACACTCACCAACCAAAATCATAAATCTTTTCACAATATTACAAACATAAATATAGTTAATAATCCATAAATCGAGTCATTAACTGGCAGAGTAATTGCAGTTGTTTTAATGTGGTAATTCACTTATTTCGTAACAATGAAATCTGAGGCCAATTTCTTGGCCTCAAACTTCATCTTCGAGTTCCATTGCTTTATCATGTCACATAACATTGCTTCATCTTTAGATAAAAACACAGATAATCTAATTCAATTTTTTTCGATTAATTTGCATATAGAATAAGATATATGAGGGGATATCAAAAGTTCTAATTATCACAAAGTCTTATTCAGGGTACGAACTTTATTTTGCTTTCTTGTCCTTAGGACTTCCCAACATAGTCACCATCCCGAGTTACAATTTTCTCCCACCGTTTCTTGACTTTGCGCAGACCGGCTGAGTAGAAGTCCCCTGATTTAATAGAAAACCAACCCTCCACTTCTTGAATGACCTCGTTCTTCTTGTCAAAACGACGTCCACGAAATGGGTTCTTCATCCTGGGAACAAGAAAAAGTCACTTGGTGTGCCCATGGGTACAAGACGTCTGAAGAAATCTTCTTCATCCCTTCCAGAATCTCCAATGCCTGTCGTGACATGTCCCGTCGAGTCTGTCTTTGAAGAGGAGTCAGTAAGTGAGGATCCCAGCGTGCTGACACTTTTGACATGTGCAGCTGTTTATGAAAGATGCTCCATGCACTGCCATAGCTCAAGTCGGTCTCATGCATAACCATTGGTATTGTTAAACGGCGATCTTCCTGAACCAGCGCCTCGACTTTGTTCACTGTGTCCATATCATCAGTAAGTGAGGGGCGTCCACTTCTTGGCTCATCTGTGAGAGACATGTTACCGGTTTGGAAATTCCTTTTCCATCTCACAACAGTGTCATAGAAGGGACTATCATCACCATCAACAGATTTCATCTCATCGTGAATTTGTCTTGCAGTGCAGCCCTTCAAGTGAAAGAACCTAATGACACTGCGCGCTTCAGTCTTCTTCATACTTGGAGGTACTGGTGTGTATGATCAACTAGCACAAGACTGAATTTAATGAAGTAGATTGTTCTTGGTCCATTAACTAGTTATGGATTACTGATGTTACAGTCAAACTTTTATCCTGATTACTCAGTATCTTCTTGGTGATACTTGAAACTTCCCCTCGTATATTGTGTTTAAACTCCTTGATGCATTCGGGATCTTCATGTAATGTGTTGACCTCACACTTCATTTTCCGTCTTGTTAAAACTTGTTTTACACATCTTTTAGTTTTCAGTTTATATATATATGGAATAAGAATCAAATTGTTTTACCTATTACATTAAAAACGAAGAGAGACACAGTTACTGCCGAATCGCATTTAGGATATCTATATATTGTACAAGATTTCTGATCTTCTTACCCTCGACGATACGGGTTAGACTTGATCTTCAGTTACCCATGCTTGTCGCAAGAGGCGACTGAGGGAATCGTCAGACTTGGTTGACACATGTCATCGTATCTCAATTGCGGAGATCCATGCTCATGCTGTTGATTATTAGATTGCCTGGTCTAGACTCGCTTATTTACAGACCGCAACCATATAGCTGGAATAGTGCGACGTAAAACTAAACTAACTCACTCACTCCCACTCCTTCCCTACAAAGACTGCAACCTGCAAACAAGTGAGAAAGTAAGTTAGTGAGTTGAGTTTTACGTCGCACTCAGCAATATTCCAACTATATGGCGGCGGTCTGTAAATAATCGAGTCCGGACCAGACAATACAGGAATCAACACCATGAGCATCGACCTGCGCAATTCGGATACGATGACATGTGTCAACCAAGTCAGCGAGCCTGACCACCCGATCCCGTTAGTCGCCGCCTACTTCAAGCATGGGTTACTGAAGATCAATTCTAACCCGGACCTTCACGGGAGTGTTGAGAAGACAGCCCCGTGATGTGGAGTGTGGACCATAGTGCCACAATATCGTGTTTACTTAATTACCCGATCGCCGATATACAGACCCGTGTCAGTTATATTCGGACACTTGACGTCATTTCCATAGACTTACATGTTATTTCAGTGTAGCATAAATAATTTTCATGAGATGAGTTTAAGATAGATCCTTATAAAATTTGACAGGCAAATTTGAAATCATCTCTGTGCACATAATTTCAGTTCAATTTTCCGACCACTATTAAACTAATGACATCACATTTATCAACTTACGTATAGTTCCACAATGCACAATCCCATAGGCCGCAATGTTAAAGGAATTCACGGCACTGCACATATGTTGATTAAATTGTTGCCATTCGATAAATAAGCACCGGAAAATTAAACAGAAATTATGTGTAACATATGTTATGTGATTGTAGGTAAGATGATTCCTCACAAATGTGCAACATTTAACTTGAATCATACGAAAATTAAATTCCTGAAAATTATATATGCTACACTAAATTAACATGTAAGTCTATGGAAGTTACGTCAAGTGTCCGAATATAACAGGCACGGGTCTGTACCTATTTCTCCAGGGCACATGGTTCTTTAAGCATTGCCTGTACATAAACCTGTCACGTGTGCGTATGGACTTTCGCTGTTGACAAAATGAAAGCAAAATCTTTATGTTGCACAAATAACATTCCGATTAAAATTCCTTTGATGTCCAAAGCTAAATGTCTTTCAAACAAGTATGTACCTCGTTTCTCCAGGGCAAATAATTCTTAAATCATTGAGCATTATCACATCTGTCCGAGCTGTAAATATATCAAACAGTCTTATGCCTCATTTCTCCACAGCAAACAATTCTTAAATGATTCATTATTGACACACCTGTTAAATATATGAAAAAGGGGGACCACACGATGTATCTTGAGCGTATATAAGACGAAATCCAATTGCCTTTCGTCACTTCGTCACATCCTTGCTGATTGGTAAGTGTGGTTTGCTTTCAATACGTTTAAGCATTTTCAAGTAGAATTATAAACAAATGTTATCACTGACAGATTGCCCAGGGATTTCACTGAGAAGTAGCATTGCTACATCATTGAAATATATCCATGTTCCTCGTTTTACAAGATAAAACGATTTGGCATGCAGCTTTCATTCATTGTGGCTGAACGTGAAACGTGTCAAAAAGGCATGAGATATGTATTGGTGCAAAAAGGTTCTTTGACGAAATTCCAAATGAAGGGTTATCCAATATACTAAATATACGGAGATTATATGCGGAATATTCATCGATTGTTCGCAATTTTACTGCAATTATGATAAAATGATTCTGTCGTTCTGCACGTTAGGCCAAACAAGATAAGCATGAAGTTGCAAGGGCACAATCATCAGCGATGTTTCACTGGATACTGATCAGTTATTGAACCCTCAGCTCGGAATATGTTACAATCATCCTTCTTCAACAAAGACAATAATTCTCGTCATTGTGAAAATGTTTACTCGCTCAATCCATGTCCATCTTGACCTAACCGTAGGGCCAAGTGTTTGTGAAATCTCTCTATTTAGTTGTAAGTATATACCAAAACAGAAATCCCCGAAGACACAGACGCGAGGGACGTAAATACCAGTGAGGAATACATTACGGATAATATCACCGAATGATACACTTAAATCCAAGAACGATCACTACTGGTCCCGTTCGACATGTTGCAGATATACACCAAGAACGTAAATTAAGCACCCCTGTATTTTTGCAGTGGGTTTTTCAACACGTACATAAAACTTCTTGTGGTGACCACGATGGAAAAACATGAGTTTCTTTGAACAGTATGACCCCTTGACTCATGAAAACAACAAAATGATTGGGATCCATGTTGTTGTATTATGATAATTGCTCATTTAAAGAAACACACACTTATTTTCATACAAAACCATGTCTGTACAAGTATGGCCCTTCACAAGTCATGCTGAATATATTGGTGAATGTCATTTTGCGTGTCTTACACAATTCAAGGTCAATACCGTGTGACTGTATGACAGCCAGCACTCTCCTTATAACCCCTGGCGGCCTCCTGATACTCTGAAAGGCCAGACTACGCCATTCCTCGTGTAAAGCAGCTTCCAATTGTGCCAGGTTCTGTAAAGGAGGATCCCTTTGTTGCACATAACGACCAATCATATCCCCGATATGCTCCAAAGGGTTAAGATCGGGGTTCATTCAATCGTGAGATATGTCAGGGGGTGCTTAACTGAGTCATTTGTGTATACATCAAATACATACCTAAAATTGCATTGTCTTTACCCACAGAAATATCCACCATGAAAACCTTTGCTGTAGCAGTCTGTTTGGTCCTGTTGGTGGCGATGGCCTCAGCCACATACAGACAATACGGCGGAGGCTACGGAGGATATGGAAGTGCATACTATCCAAGATACGGATATGGAGGAAATGATGCATGGAACAACCAAGACTTCAATCAGTATGCCAACATCAATCAGCAACAGTCCAACAAGCAAAAGGTCGACCAAGATTACTATCGTCGTGGTGGACATGGATTCTTCTACCCCGGCGGCAAGGGCCATTGGTGATAATATGATTGTCCATTCACATTGTCCATAATGCAGGACCATAATCTTTGCTTATGTGACTAATATGACCTGAATAAAAACGTAAGTGCTATAATTCATTCAGTCCTTTGTCATACCAGTTTTGTTTGATTTTTATTTATGTTTGGTTTTTTTGGTGTGTTTTTGTGCTGATCTTTTAATACGTTTCTGGGCTACTTCGCGCCCCTTCATCAGGTAGCTTTTCGAAACGGGCTCCAGGTCCTCAGAGGTGTCTTGTCTGTCGGAAACTCTTTGACGGTCATAACACACATTGCAGGTTAATCAAACACTTAACGGACAGACTAAGTACTCAGGGGCAATGACTAGCTTTCTTAATTCTAATCGTCAAGACCATTATCGAAAATGGACTCAGACATTACATCATTCATCCTGGGCAACAAACAGTTGAAAGATTGTCCAAACATTTACTCACGGGAACTTTAACAATAATTGATTTTATAAAGCCTGCAATGACTGAGTGAGTGAGTGAGTTAGTTTAGTTTTACGCCGCACTCAGCAATATTGCAACTATATGGCGGCGTCTGTAAATAATCGAGTCTGGACCAGACAATTCAGGAATCATCAGCATGTGCATCGATCTACGCAATTGGGATAAAATGGCATGTCTCAACCCAGTCAGCGATCCTGACCACATGTTCCCGTTAGTCGCAACTTACGACAAGCATGGGTTACTGAAGACCAATTCTAACCCGGATCTTCACGGGTGCCTGCAATGAAGCTGGTATAGTGTGTCTCGTTCATAGTGAGTAAGTGAGTTAAGATTTTTAGTCACATCAGCAGTATTTCAGCCATATAGTGACTAAACCAAGATATACATTCATGACACATACACCCAAAATACATAAAAACGAAGAACAGTAGAAACAACTAAAATATAACAGAAATAGATGTAAAACTAACATGTGAATCTAGAGACATTCAGGGTAAAAATCTCTATCACAAATGGAAACTTTAGAGACATCAAGTGTTCCATAGTACAGTGATTGCGTTATGGATGAAGGTTCAGGTATAATAATATCTTCTTGAAAGGATACGTTTTCAAGCAAGATTTGAAACTTATGAGAGAATCCGAAAGTTAAATGTTGACTGGAAGAGAATTCCACAGACCAACGTGGTGTTCTAGTGTGGGAAGGAACTTCTCATGGTCAAATGTATCAAATCTGGCACTCAAATCCACAGCATCTGGGGTCATTAATAACTGTGAGAAAAAGTGCCTCAGTGGAATGATAAGCCGACTGAAAGCCATCCTAAATATTGCTCGCAGACAAATAATCCATGAGCCGCTTCCTTCCACTCAATCAGCTTTGACAGGAATGATAGATTTGGAACTGGTCTGTCCTTTTCATGATGTTTAACTCCCACTTTCCGTTTTCGATGAGAACTGGTGCATCCTTCAAAATATTTGGAAAGGCGCCACAAAACAAACTCTTGTCAATGGTGGCAGTGCACGTGATTACTGGAAGTAAGTTGTCGAGATGGTCCACCACAGGTTGAATTTAAATCACTCTGACACGTTGTCATTTTAGCAGATTTAATCAAGTCATTGACGTCAGACTGAGTAAAGGGTTGAAATTCAGGTAGACCTGATCCCATGAAACACGACTTCTCAAAAGGAGTGATCTGCTGACATTATTGAACATAGTTTCTGATTTAGATTCACAGAGTGTGTTGAACTGATCAGCCAGATCAGAGGCACTATCTGACTGGGGAAATCTACCTTTGTCCTCTCACATATGAGTGAGTTCATGAAGTTATGAAACTGGCGTGGGAGTTAGTCCTTGAATTCCCAGGTCTGTTGTTTTGACGTTTTCACTCGCGAATGAGTTTAAAAATTTAGCCTGATGATCTACTCCTAACTTAGACCTACACCATTTCCGTTCAGCGTGACGTCTTGTCTCTTTTGCCTTATTTGAACGAAAGACCTCACTTTAGAGCATGACTGTCCAATATATTTCTAAGTTCAAATTGTATTGGTGTGTCAACTCCTTTTTGTCTCCTTTAGTTTCTGAGAGATAAGAGCTAGCGGTGTTATCCCTGAACCTTCCTTGTCAATTCCTGCAAGATTGCCACAAGGTTTGGTGTTGATTTTGTGCGACAGTCTCAGGACATTTAGAGTCATTAAAATCTTTGATTGATGACATAAGCCTACCCCATACAGATACACTCGGATAAGGCCTGCTCACAAACCAGTCCAAGAATATGTCCAGACCTATGTATAGATAAACGTGGTGTTCCAAGGAATGCGATTCTAACAATGTGATTACTGTACTTCAGGCTTGTCACTTTCATTGAAATGCGAATTAAAGTCTCCAACAAAAAAACATGTCTTTTTTTTGAGTGCACAGAACATAACGTGGACAAATAGTCAACGAAATTTGATTGACACGGTTTGTTTTAGGTTGATGTGGGTGGTCTATATAAACACAGGATTCCTACTGTTGTGTTAAAGGGTGCAAGTGTCAGATCAATGTCCTCAATTGAAACATTTGATGTCTTAGATTTGGCGAGAACCACAAAAGTCCTTCCTTATGTAGCAAAGCGACACCACCACCCCTTCCCATCCTGGGGACGTGTGTGACGAAAACCAGTTGTTGTCATTTCTGATGTCAGTGCCTCGTCATCTGTATCCAATAATCAGGAGTTGTAGAGATCTTAACGCCTAAAACCGTTTGCAAGCCAATGTGTGCACAGATTCAACATAATCATTCTGACAGAATCCCCAGACCTCGGCACCATACAGCAGAATAGGAGCTATTTTCATATCAAATATATCTTAAAGTATAATTCATGAGATATATTACCAAGCTTACTTATAATTTTAAGAACACCAAATAAAGCCTTTTTACCTTGCAAAGCTGCATTAGAATAATGACTAGACCAAGACAAGCCCCTTGTGAATGTTATACCTAGATTCTTATATGAAGTTACCGCTTCCAACTTCCTACCATTATAGGGGTGGTGGGGTAGCCTAATGGTTAAAGCGTTGGCTCGTCACGCCGAAGACCCGGGTTCGAATACCCACATGGGTACAATGTGTGAAACCCATTTCTGGTGTCCCCCTCCGTGATGTTGCTGGAATATTGCTAAAAGCGGCATAAAACCAAACTCAGTCAGTCAGTCAGTCCTACCATTATAAAACCAAATTTCTCTTTTTGATAAAATACCACCTTTCTGAAAAACGACAACTTTTGTCTTATCCAAATTGACCTCAAGACCATATTCTATACATAACTTTTCTAAAACATCGATGCGGTTCTGTAGCCCTCCAATAGTATCAGATATAAGTGCGATGTCATCCGCAAAAAGAAGAAGAAATATTTGAATAACATCAGGATGTAATTGAATACCTGGACCTGAATTTCGTTCTACCTCAACAACCAACTCGTTGATAAAAATCGAAATCAACAGAGGGCTAAGGACACAGCCCTGACGAACACCACGTGAACAAGGGAAAAATCCTGACAACACATTATCAAATTTTACGCTAGCCTTAACGGATGAATAGATGGACTGTATAGAGTTAACCATTTTGGGGGAAACACCTCTAGATTTCAAAACTGAACATAATTTCAAACGACTTACACTGTCGAATGCCTTAGCAAAATCCACGAACACACAATAAAGTTTAACCTTTTGCTTACTAAGGTATCTCTGGACAATAGCCTGGAGGGTAAAGATATTATCAATGGTGGAGTAATCATGACGGAAACCAGCCTGTGACTCTGCAATTTTACCATATGCTTCACACCAATACGTTAACCTCCTGTTTAGTATAGACACATAAAGCTTGCTAAATACAATAAGGAGAGAAATACCTCTATAGTTAAATTGAGAGTGTATATCACCTTTCTTATACAAAGGAACAATGACAGCCTCCGACCATGATTCTGGAAAGTAAGCATGTTCAAACATGACATTGAAAAGCACTGTAAGATGTGGTACCAGAATGTCTGTTGTTTATTTGAAAAATTCTGGAATTAATAAATCAGCACTTGAGGATTTGCCACATTTCAGTCCTTCAATGGCGGTTAAAATTTCTTCTTGTGTTATAGGAGTCTAAAATGGAGAATGTCATATCATCACAAATTTCAGAGTCAGTTTCATCGTTAACATTGACGTCTTCAGCAGTGACATCCTCTGATATAAACAGGTTTTTGAAATGATCAGCCCATTCAACAATGGTTATATTAGGAACACAAGTATAAGCAGTATGGGACAGCCCTTTTAATGTAGACAAGAATGATTTACTGTAATGGAGACATGTTGAAATTGTATTGTTTACAAGTTCATAATATGTTTTTCTTTTATTTCTAAGTAGAGATGTGTAGGCATTCCGGGCTTTAATATAATTATTTAGATGAACATCATTTATGTGACGACGAAATACTTTAAGAAGTCGTTCCCTTTCTGATCTATGGAATCTACATTCCGCATCAAACCATGGTCCGGAGTGTATGGGTTAATTTTGTTATGGCGGTTCATACTACCGGCTGCTTCACATACCGCTTCTGTAAACTGAGTGACAACCTCATCAATGTCTTCAACGAGTAGTGTACATTTCTCAAATATGTCAACAACAGCAGGTAACAACAAGTTCTCCCTGAACTGTTGGAGATACCCCATGTCCCATACATAGCGGTCCGTCACACGTATTGCAAGTGCTCCTTCAGCTCTGTCGTCGGTGGCAGGATCACGTGACTGAACTGAGCACGTTAACGGTAGATGGCATGACTCGGCTCGTGAAACAACTTCAAAATGTTTACAATATGGAAATAGGCTATTAGATACAATAATATAATCGATTACACTAGATCCACTCTGATTAATGAACGTAAAGTCGCCGATACTGGAATCTGCACCACAACGGCCGTTTAGGATGGACATATTAAGAGCAGCACATATATTCACCAGACCACGACCAGCACTGTTGATAATATCATCACACGATGACCTATCAATGTTCACACTATCCTCCAACGAAGACATATCCTCATCCCCTAAAATATCAGAGATATCATTAAATGATACCTTTTTAATATCCAATGAGTAAATTTA